CAGAACAAAATAGATTCTTTAATGTGACGAGAAAATTGATGCCCAGTGCCAGCGAAAGGAATTGATAAGAATACGAAACCCGCAAAAAAAGTCATTCAACACAACACAGTTATTTTTTGAATAAGGTAAGCTTAAAGGTATTAACGTCCAAGATGTTTAGTTATGAGTTGCATGAAATAAATAAATAAGGAAATAAATGACTAGAGAAGTAGATAAATGAATAAATTTATAAGTGAATAAATGAATAAATAATTAAGTAGATAAATGATTAAATTAATAAGTATATAAATGAAATAAATAAGTGGATGAACAACTGCATTAATGAAGGGATGAATGAATGAATGCGATGAATAAACGAATGAATGAATGAAATGAACGAGTGACTAAATGATTAGGTAAACGACTAACTGAGTGAATGAGAGAATGAATGAGCGGAAGAATGAGTCGACGAATGAATGAATGAATGAATGAATGAATGTGATGAGTAAATGACTAGTGTGATGAGTATGATGAGAATAAGTGAACTAAAAGAACGAACGAGTGGATGACTGGATAATAGGGTAAAACACAAATAAATGATTGTCTTCACAAAAAAAAAGTAAATCTTGTTCTACATTCAATATGATTTATTGCATGCTTAGGCACTCCTCAAATTACTAAATTCTATTCTCAAGCGAAATTATTGAAATCCTGTGGTGTTACCAATATCCCTAGCCTTGGAAAGCAATAGCGTTGAGCCTAATTCAAATTACAATGAGGTCCTATGAGACGGCGGCTACGAATGCATACGAAAATTCTTCGGCAATTCGCCAAAAGCCCATGTTTGGCGTGAGACACAAAGAAGCAGACAGCTGAGGATGCGAGACTCTCTGGCGGAGGCCGTCGAATATTCAACAGCAGTAGCAACTGGTAATCGAGCTAACGCTCGAACATAGCACAAGCACTTAGAATGTCCTTGCCCTACCCTGCCAGATAGAGCCAAAAATTGGTTTTATTAAGAAAAATCTATTACAAAAAAAACATGAGAGTAGTTTTTCGGAATTATCCATGAAATCTTGGAATTCTGTAAATAATTTAGAATAACGATGGCAAGAAAGAAAGCAGAACCAGTAGAACCTAATCGTGACGATTTAAACCACTGGAAAAGAAGAATATCTGTGTGCGCGATCATTACTGGCGATATTATCGCTATTTGCCAACCGAATGAACGAATATATAATAACTAGTACTGCAAAAGTATATATAAAAGGTGGTAAACTTAAACACAAAAAGACGTTTTGTAAAAACTGATGACGATGATTGTACGCATTAAAATGTAAGCATTACAGCTTTCAGTGGCCCATACAACATATATATGAGCTCTAACAGTTTTTCCCTACCTCCTTGAAAAAA